AAATATTGGTATTGTAAATTATTATACAGAGTGTTTCATCGTGTGTGGTCCGATGCTAGTTTCTCTGTTTACATTCAATTTTTATTTTTTTATTTTTTAATTAGATTTCGTGTGAGAAGGATATAATACAGGATGTCTTACGAAAATATACTCATTGTAATGTTTCCGGAGATAATGAAGATAAAAAAGTTTATATATAGTCAATTAATCATATTAATAATCAATTAGTGAATGCGATTACACCAGGCTGCATAATTATATACGTACGTTTTTCTAAAGTTTAAAAAAATGATTAAAAAATGATTTAAAAACGAATTTAATGAAAATAGAAAGCTAAAACGTTAATATTCTCAGAAGAATATATAAGCTCTATAAAATGGCTTATCTTCAAATTTTTCGAAATTAAAATGTAATTATTTTAGTTTTTGACCAAAACTTACAAATTCAATTCAAATATAAGTATTTGTGGTCCTGGTCCCTGCGAAAATGTTGAAAAATAAATAAATAAAAAGCTTTTTTTTTTCCTTCTAATGATTAAGGAACGAGCATAAATATTTAATTTTAGGTTTCTGATATCGAGTTTAGAACATCTTATATTCCCATTGTGTCCTTGTGGTCCGTATAGTTATTGGTACATGGTTACGTTTGTTGTTTTGGTTAACTTGGAGAAATAATATTGTATATTAGTTTAAATATGAGTATTAAACATAAATGTATACTTTAGTCGATATTAAAACTTAGTTACCAAAATATAAATACCTCGTTAATTTTAAAGTTTTCCTGTAAATTATTCAATATTTTATTTGTTATTGTTAGGGTTTCTATACGTAAACATAATAATAATATAATTGTATACTAGGTTATCGATTCATTTTAAAATAGTATGTGGAATTATAGTTTGTTGTTAAAAAATATGTTTTTGAAATCGGGATATTTGTGTGCGCTTGCAGAGTGGGCTTTCCTAAGTTAGTTTCACTAAATAAATATCCCCTGCATTTAAAATCCGATTGAAAAAAAAAAATACAAATAATTAAATATTAACAATGATATTAGCATCGGGAAAACGCGTTTTTTTTTTTTTGTATCCACAAATATGTAGTTACATGATAATATATTATTATCATATAAAAAAGTTATTGAATTTAACACTATAAGATATTGATTTTTTACGCGATGCGATATTTGACAAACCATTTGTAAACGAATTTTTTTTTTTCAGGCGTTTACGAATACGTGCCGATCGAAGACGGCAGTGGCGAACGATTGCAAATAAACGCCCAGAACTGTATCCATTGCAAGACTTGCGATATCAAGGACCCCACACAGAACATCAATTGGGTGGTGCCCGAACCCGGCGGCGGACCCGCTTACAATGGAATGTAAAATAATTGCGTACACACAAACCAACATTTCTTTGGCGGCCGAATCAAATGCACTTGTAATTATCGTCGTTTTAATTATTTTCAATAATTACTATACCGTGTTATGTTCTATCAGTGAACGAGTATGTACGCGCTTTTTAAGTGCGTTTTCTTAAACTATATGGTGTTCACTTTTGGCGAAACTCTGACCGATTCCCTCTATAGGAAGTTCTAAGTATCGATCTCGACTACTTTTCTAGAGCCTTTAGCCGTCAACACAACTTCCTCACATCTGTCTCTATCTGTGCGTGATTTGCTCCAATCAGTAATGCCCATATATTCCTCGGGTCTAACATAATTCCGTTCAATCAACTCTTATACTAGGTTTTGTTTTTCGGTATTTACCCGTCGGTCTCCATTCTATAGATATAGCTTCTTAGAGCTTTTTCGTAACATTTCGCGTTTGTTGTTGATACTTCCATACCTACGGTAACTTGTCGAAATACCTTGCGTTTCACGTTTATGTCGAGGAGAAATCGAAAATTTCGTATTTTTCTTCGATCACCCGAGGGTCGTAATTGTATTTTTTAAACGATGATATGACAGCCGAAATCGAGCAGGGCCTGGGTAACGTTTCGCCACCTGGACGAACGGCCTCTAAAAAGTTTTCGACTAGTTCCAATCGCACACGAACCGTTATTGCGCGTGTTTTCCCGTTTTTTCCCGTTTCCTAAACCGGCCTTCGCAACACCTCCTCGGCACCGCCGTCCAAACGCTACCAAACACCGCCGCCATTAGTCGGCGACCGGTACGTCATTCGCGGTGGTTGAAAATTAGTTGGCAAACGGACAGGACAACGCGATAAGGCACCGTTAGACCTTCGAACGAAATTCGTCCCGATTGGCGTTTAACGCGTTCCTCGCCACGGCCAGAGTCTAAATATTAATAATTCACGTCAGCGATTACAAATATTCACGCGCCGTCGTCGGGGGTGGTGGTGGGAGGAGGGTGGTGGTGGTGGTGTACGCGCCACCGCGGAGTACAAAAGACATTTGTTGCATCGATTTTGATGGCGCACACGTCGTTTTTCTTTCTGGGTCACGTCGCCCCGTCCGGTCCGTTATACATTTTCGAAATGTTTAATGTCAGTTGCGTTTTCGCTATTTTACAACGGCATTGGATACCCGGGCGCGCGGCACTGTCGCAAGCTCGAATAATGTGTTTTTATAGAATTTCCAACGCTCGGCCTGCCACTTACAGCGCGTCCGGCGGACGATTGTCGTACGGCGCGTTTGTGCGCAATATAAATAACGGCCCACGCGCCGTATCTCCGTCCGTATAAAATACGATACGACGTTTACGGATACGCGCCCTCGGCCATGCTAATGTGTCGCAATCAAGACCCCCCCCCCCCCCCCCCCCCCCCCCCCC